AATAAAAGCTTTCTGTGCTTAAAGCAACGGAATTCAAAGCATTTCTCGAAATCCGCATTAAAACATGTGACAGTGCAGCTTTAAAGCACACTGTAGTAACTCCAGTCATTACTCACGTACTGCAGTAAGTGACTTTTTGGCCGCTGAAGGAGAGGAATAAAAGCTGTGAGCAAATTACTGTCATATAAAAACTTTATTAATTTCCCAATGAAAACATAACTTTGTTGTCTTTTTATTTTTTTTATTTATTTCATCTCTCCTAACTCTTGTGGAACATTCTCTCTCCTCCACTATATTCCGCTCATTTGTGGATGTGCAGTTTGCTGTCAGAGGCGTACAGAGCGCCCTGGGGATTAAAGTTTTCCTGCCTCCTGCAGCCAGAAACACGGAGCAGTGAGGGGGAACCACTTTGAGTGTTGCGATGTTTGCCAAAAACCAGAGCAGTAAAAGACATTATAAAACTACACAGAGTTAAGAGTTGAGAGAAACTGCGGCGCCGAGCGCTCGCTTGTACATAAAAGTAGACGGGATTTGATAATAATGTGAAAATATCTGCTTTAATCACGGACATGAAAGCGCCGTGAATCTCCGCCACAGCACAAAGAATGTAAAAAGGGCCTGTTGGAATGAATGTCGCGTTACTACAAGCGTACAAGAAAAGCACGCCGCCAGGGCGTCAGACGACACGACGCAAAATGGCTTTTGACAGCTTCATTTATTACGAGTGTTTTATACAGCTGCCTTGGCAGGTGTGTGATTGTTGAGATGCTGAGCAGAGGAGGAGGAGGAAGAGGAGGAGTGAGGTGCATAGAGAGTAAAATCTCGGGGGGGGGTGGGGGTCAGGGGGGGTTTGATGCTTGTTTGTTCCGGCAAGGGAACGTGGGACTGCACGATGGGAGGACTTGGCAGAGAGAAACAACGATGAGGGGTTTCAGCTGAAGTAATATCAACTAAGTCAATACACTAGAGAGAGGCAGTCACCTGAGCTGGATACACTAAGTAAACACCTCATTTTTCTGTTGTTTTTTTTTTCCGTTTGTTATGAGCAGTTGCCGCAGTGTGAATAAAGTCTCCCACGCTGCTTTAAAACAAAAACACTGACTAGTGACAAGCAGAAGAGACAGATTTGTTACCACAGTCCAAGTCAGCACCTTGGACAGCTCCTTTGAGACGTCTTTAAACAAAAAAAAAAACCAACTCAGTTTAGCGTCCGTGTCCTGTTCTGTAGTCATTACTTTTACAATGGAGAAAGATTCCCACTTTCGCTGTTTCTGCTTGAAAAGCAGGAAGTAGTCTTTAAAAGTATAATGGAGGTTTATTGTATTTTTTTTTTCTCTCTCTCTGTTTTCTGCCTGCTTGTTTTTTAATGCAACTTGCCTGAGGAATTTGGAGAGGAACTTAATTATCTTGGACTAAGGCTTTTTTTTTTTTTTTTTTTACAAAAAACACTGAAACTGCAGAAGTGATGACACTCACAGTCCACTTTAGTGTGAGTGGTTTTGCTAACAAAAGGAAACAGGAAAAAACTCGTTCACCTTTGTACGGTCTCCAGACCTTTTTATCACCTTTGACACATTTTCCCCTCATGTTAGTCAAGCGTAACTAACTTAATTAACTTGGCCTTAAATGGAAGAATTTGATTTTCTAAAATATAGATACAATATATGGAATTAATAACATTTTCCTGAATGAACTAAAGAGGATTTTTCCTCCTTGTTTGGCAGGCATTGGTGGTCAAATGTACTGTCCAAAACAGAAAAAAGTTATTTTTAAAAATTTCTATTTTTTTTATGAACAAGTGTTTGTTTAGTAATCAAAACAAAATGTTACGTTATTGACTGTCCGAAGACTGTTTTGCGATCTTTTGGTCTGGACTCTGTTTTCCCACTTACACTGTTCACTCTAGTGATTTGTATTTTGTACTTCAAAAGTTTGGAATCAGTGTCAAGACTCTGTTTTCTACCTAAAACTCCCACTTACACTGTTCACTCTAGTGATTCTCAGTGACTCCCACTTACACTGTTCACTCTCGTGATCATGTGATTTTTCTTTCCTCTACTGTATAATCTAGTTCTCTAACAGTCCTCTCCATGTCTCATCTGAGTGTTTCCCATTTTGGCCCCTGGCTGTTTTTTTGTTTTTTTTTTCAGGGGAAGCGTGGGTTTTCTTAAAGTGTTACACTTTTTCCCCTGGGTTTAAAAAAAAAAAAAAAAAGCAAAAATAAATCTATAATGTGAATTCCAAATGGAGGCATTGCACAATGTTCAAAGTTAATTGTTTTTTCTCTTCACAACATTGACTGTTCATGACAAATACAGGTTCAGAGACAATATTTTATCAAGTGTCACAATTGTCTTGCCAAAAAAAAAAAAACCCCACTGTGTAACCCCAGAGTCCCAACTAGTGAAGCTAACGATACCTTCATATATTGTAATGTTTTTTTAAAGCTATTTTTCAACCAACTAAGTCAGTTATTTATCTGCCAATTTGCCCTTTTAAATTTCATCCTTACTCTCACATGTTCCTGTACTTGTACCAGCTGTGGTGGAAACATTTTTTTTTTTTTTTCAACTGTCTGCCCGAGTTCTAATAATAACCATATAACCAATGAAGCATTACTCTGCACAGTTGTAACCTATATACACTTTTAGTCCACTGCAAAGTGCTGATCAGGCAGCTCAGTGAAATAACGCCTCCCATTCTACTGGCCCGTCCTGACTAGGTTCCACAGTTAGTATGACTTCACAATGAAACACCTGGGATGTAGGTGTATTTTCTTGTGCTTGTTTTAAGCTTTTTGACACCACATGATGGCAGTAAACTCTGACAGAGATGAGGAGCCGACAGTGTGACTTTGAAGCACTGTGTCACCAGGTGAGAGGACCAATCAGGTGTGTGAGTGTGTGACACATGGTTGATGTATTAAATTGTTCACCTCCCTGTGCTGCTCTCCCTGTTATTGAATTAATCATAGTAATTTTCTCTGAAAGTTAATGCTTGATTTGCACCTAAAGAAGTGGAAAAGTGAGTTAAGTGTGTGAGCGAGAGAGTGAGAAAAAGAGAGAGAGAGAGAGAGACGGAATGAGGGCCAATGAAAAAAAAGCAGATATTAATCAAAGAAGCGAAGGTAAAAAGGTTGCAGCCTTTAGCTTGACATTTTTATCCACAAACATGTTCTGTTTGTTAATCAAGTCTTGTTTTTTGTTTTTTTTAGTCGGCTTCCTGTAACATACATAAATGTCATTCTCTCTCATTCCAGTGATCATATTGGTTTAGAATATATTCATTTGCAAATTTAGTTGAGTTTAAAAAATGCAAAAGGTTTTTATGTATCATGTATTGCAAGTCCCAAGGTATCCTCCTAATAGAGAAACCATATGAAACAAATAATTTCAACCAAAATTTTTGTTGTCATTTTAAAATGTCTTAGGAAACAGAGAAGTGGTTGAAGAGTACATGTTGTTGTAAGCAAAGTGTAAGACATGAGATCAGGAGTGAGAGGCAAATCAAGAATAATGGAATGGAACAGAAGACCTGTTCTGTTATAGTCACTGCATAACTTGAATTACACAGAATGGTAAAGCATCACCCGGTGCCCAATAAAAAATAAGCAATATATAAAAAAAACAATACTGCACAATGAAAGCAAAACCTTGAACAGACAAAAACAAGCTGGTAATAAACAGTAAAGATCTACATCGATTTTTTTTTGTGTGAAGTGAAGTGAATGAACGAGCTCACTGATAAAACTTTAAAAAAGCAAATAAACACACACAAAAAAAAAGTCTGCCATGAAGACAACGCCACATGGAGGCAGAACGCTGGAAGGACACCCACTGATTGCAATAAGAAAAAACAAACTTAGAACTGTTTTTAAAGACAAGTGACACGTGAACTATTCTTAATCAGATGGTAGATAAATCATAATCATCAGTCAAAACTTCAGCAGGTGTGAAAGAATCTGGTTGGCCTGTGGCCCTTAAAACCCTGACTAAAACACCACATAAAATATGGGGAGTAGAAGAAGACCATGAAGTCTGAAGGAGCTCAGGTGAAAGGAGAACAGGCAAAAATACTGAGGTGGAAGGAGGAATAAAATGTAGTACTTCAGAAGTACTATAACTCAGATATATACTCAAATAATATATATATATATACACATGTATGTGTATATATACTGTACATATATACTTACATATACATACATACATATACACATATATACATATATATGAAAAACTACTCAATTGCAGTAACGGAGTAAAAGTAATTTGTTACTTTGTGACTGAGGCTTCCAATATTATTGATGAAAATATTGATTGTAGTAAAAATTCCTTGCTTTGGAAAAAATAAATAACTTTTTATAGTGGTTTTTATAGTTAATCATATAATCATTTGTGAGTTTTTTTTTTTTTTTTTTTTTCAAAGTAAACCATTTCACACAGACCGACCAGCACTCTGGGCTGCGTGCCTCAGTCTACAAGTGTTCTAAGAGTAAGGAGGACCCTCTGCTCAGTCCTTTGTGTCCCTGTGTATAGTTGAAAAAAAGCACATATTGTTGGAGACAATGAGGGAA